TACCTGAGAACCTCACCTCTTACTGAATAAGAATGTTTCTAGCCTTTGTAACAGGTCAGAAAAACAAGGATGTGGAAATCTGCTCAAAAGTGAAAATTGAAATCTTCACACAAAAGAACATCAATACAAATGACTCTAGAATCTCCGAGGGAGCTCGTGCTGCTGTGAGGGATCTCCTCACTGATCAGACACTGTAGAATCATCCTTGACCTCCTGCCTCTCCACCTCCCTCAGCCTGAACTAAGACATCAAGAGGACTGAGCAAGAGGGGGCAGAAAAATGCTCCATTTGGTGGTAAGGCACACTCAGCAACTTCTGCCTCTAAACTATCAAAATTTGAAAGAAGTACCTGTTATCATCCACTGAGACTACTTTGGCTTTTTTCTTCCCCTTCTCAGCAGCATGTAATTTCAAAGACTTTATCTACTAGCCTTAATAGTATATTAACAATATTATAATATTAATTAATATGAGCTGTGTCAAGAGGAGTAAAGCACATGGGATAAATGGGAGTGCAGTCAGTTCACAAGTGACAGCCAGGAGTAAGTCTGATTGTTATTGCATAGTCTAGTGGCTTCTTTACTGCTTTTGTGCAAGAGAGGACAGATGCAACTTCCCCTCAGTGTTCCCCACGTTCTCTAAGGAAAGAGAGAGGCTACTTTTGTCCTCTGTAGGCCCTGCCTCCCTCTGCTGACTTGAAATTCTTTTCTCTAAGACATGATAGCAGTTCTGCCTCTCTCCTCCTTCAGAAACTGTTGAGGGAGAGAGCAAGCTCTGACTACCTCTGTAGTGGTGATACGGTCTGACTAGCTGCCTCCTTGACTCACTTGTCCATCAACATGCAATTTCAAACAGCAGCTGGAAACAAAGAGCAAGTTAACATAACTGTGTAATCAACTTTTCCATAACTCCCAGTTTGGCAACTACCACCAGATCAACATGGCAATTCCCAGCCCTTTAGAAATAGGGTGAAGTTGATATATTTCAAATATTACTGCAACATCTACAGCTTTCCAAAAAGAGTTTGTGGGGATGCTGAGACTGGTGCACACACTGAGGTAGCTCAAATTTCAGTTAAATTCTTAGTTTTGTGCAGACTTTTAGTTTATCAGTTCAACTTCATATAGAAGTCTCACAAAGCCTGTCATGTTTACAGCCCATTTTAGTCACTGACAAGAGCAATGTTGAAGTAAAGAGCCAAATGTTTTCTGGGAATAAATGATCCATTTTGGAAGAGTGGCAGAGGTAGGAAGCCTCAGGAAACACTCTACTATTAACAATTGTAATAAAATAAATGTCCTTTCCAAAGTTTGTAACAATTGTTTTAATTTTTTCTAGCCTCCTGCCAGAAAACTTACTATTCTTTGCTCCTGTGCCAATCAGGTTAACTCCTGCAATCAGCTCAGACAATTGGGTCACTACAACTATTCACAGTACTCATTTAATCTACGTAAGTTTTAAGTGTACCTTGTAGTTTTTGACATTTTTCTAAGCCTCTCAGCAATCTAAATCTGCCTCATACAAATGATCCAAAACCGAGGACAAATTTACACAAAGATGTCTTTATCCAATTAACTTAAAAGTCAAAATTTATTTCTGCAGTAAAACAAGAGTTTGTTTTCCCATCCTGTGTCTCAATGTTTGTTGCATGCTAAAGCCAAGAAAAATGATGTGTAACTAGGAAACAGAGCCTGAGTATTCATCTGTCCTTACTGGTTATCCAAACAGGCCAAAACCAAAATGAAACTGTGGCCAATGTGAAATATAAACCTTTATTTGGGGGTAAGATAGTGGGGATGGAATGATAAAATCAGCAATTTCCATTCAACAAGCACATTTCTCAACTTTGTAGAATGAGTCCCTGAGGACAGGCAAAAGCTTTCAATATATTTCAAAAGATCTCATAATTTAAGCCTGAATAATAAGGCCCTTGATAATCTAAAAATTTCACCTCCTAAAATCCATTTTAGAGAACGGGCATCCAAAAGCAATAATAATTTTAAGACTTAGACATATTTGCAGATAAACTGTGGGTAGAATCCTAGAGCTAAAAACAGACACACAACCGAACACCATCCAACTAGACTGAGTTACTCCCCATCAGCTCAACTGCCTTAACTGTGTGTGAACACTTGCCTGAAACCCTCCTTCTAACTGTGCAAGTGGAGAGTTACAACTCCAGGTGTCGCAACACTCATGACCTCCCCTTATGAATTTTCAGGGAATGCACTCACAGTGAGCTTGCATTCCCAGTTGTATGCATCACACCCAAAAATATCACCAGGAAGTGCCAATAAACCTTTTGTCTTCACACAAGCTCTAACATGGCAGCATAAAAAAAGTAGTTAGGGATGCAATGTATTCCTCCCTAGCAAACAGCTGCATCAGTGGAATCCCAGTGAACTCTTGCCTTGATATAGAAACAAACCAAGCAGTTTAGGTGTCAAAGAATAAAGACACCAATCTCCACATGTTGCATCTTTACTTAGACAAGTTACTTTGATAAAGACATATATTGACACAATTTCTTTTTTATATAACTACGCTGGAATGAATTACCTTAAAGATGTGAATTTCATGTTTAAAGCACTGTTCAAGTGGCTGCACTTAGCTATTCATGGGAACGAAGAAAAGAGTGGACTAATACACACTGCATTTCTGTCAAGTTCATTTTCATCCCAGCCAGAATTGGAAGAGGGCTTGAGGCCGTGCTTTCATTCCATCTCTGACCATTAGTAACACAGGGCAAGATGCTGAACCTGACTCAATGTCCCAGTCTAAAAAAAAAAAAAAAAAAAAAAAAAAAATCTTGCATAGAAACAGGAAAAGTGACAAGACAAAAGGCTGCAAAAGTTCTGAAGTATCAGAAGGATATGGGAATGCAGAAAAAACAGAAAGGAATTTCCTGGCCATGAATTATAAAATTGGTATCCTTAAAGCAGTATTATTGGCATGATGTAGAAGGTCCAACTGCTAGAAGCAGATTTAAGCTCATTTTCCCCAATATACCATATTTAAGTATTTGCATCTTGCAGTAAATCACAGTGTTGTCTCCTACCTCTAATACCTAGCTTGCTTATTTCACAGTACAATGTGATTTAATTTCTTCCTAAGAAAGTTTCTGGAGCAATGCCTAGTTTGAGAAATAGCTTTTCACAAGAATGTATATTGACCAAAATTAATTCCTATAGATGGAGAGGCTAATTAACAAGAATCCAACTAATAACTCGGTTGGATTTAATCCATATACTGAACTGGCAATATGCACCAGAGAATGAGACAGAGGGTGCAAGGATATATTTGAGGAAGAAATCACACATGACAGGCACTTTCAAAGTGTTCACAGACATTTTAAATGTTGCCCAGCCACTCTTAACCCCTTGGTCTCATCTACTTTCCATCACCCCAAAAGGATTCTTTTCTCCTCTCTCTCTCGTACTGTCTTTCCTGCATACACAATGCAAAAATACCTTACCTATATCAGTTTTCAGCTTAAAGATTAAAATGCCTGACATTCACATGTGCACACCATTCTTCTTAAAAGCAAGCTTCTGCAAATTTTGCATTTCACTGTTATTGAATGTCCTTGTGCATCAAATCCAGCAACAGAACATGAAAGGGAAGGAAGTTTTCTTAACATCATTTTTATTGCCAAGTTCCATTTACAAAGAAAGGTCTATTGTTCATTCTCGTCCAGGTTTTCCATAGCCATGACACATGATTAATGTCAGTAAATACAGACTCAGCTATAGAAATCTGGATTTTGGAAACATATACCAATATGTTCTAATTTCACTCCCTTCCCAGACACATATTTACATTTTTATTTAAATTAACATGAGACATTGTCATATTTACTCCAAATATCTAACATAACTTACATTAAATAATTAATACTTATTGCCTGTAGAAAGCCACTTCAGAATTCAACTCACCCCGTGTTTGGGCTTTTTTCCATGCAAATGTAAGTGCATGTTAAGGACTTTCCCCCGCCAAATGAAGAACATTTCAGACACAACTTTATAGAAATATGTTTCGTAGGAGGACAGTCCTTCATGCTCCTTAAATGTTTTATGTAGAGTTTAAAACCCAGATACATTCATTCTTCTAGAAAAATAAACTCCCCCCCCTTTGCAATTAAAACAATCAAATTTACAAAACAGCTCAAAATGAAGTAAAAAGTTTGCAACAAAAATATCCACGCACCTATTCACAAGTGGAGATGCCTAGTTATCCCCTAAAGTTTATAATGCTTCCAACAGGTCCCCTAGAGTTGTAGCAATGTATATTTTCACTGCTACTGCTGGGAGAAACAAAGCTCCTAGAAATTGTAATAGTCTATAAATTCACACATTTGAATCTATTCTCAATCCTTTGCAAAATTATCATGTTCATTGTAAATATTTCTGCCACAATTAGTCCTTAAATACACTCAAACACAAAACCTCAGACCATCTCATCTCCTCATATATACTTATCAGATTGCAATTACCGTTTTAAACTCACTTCAGTGTGACCCATAACCAAAAGTAATGGAGAAGAAGATGAAAAAGAGATCTCACATATCTTAAGATGGTGATCTTAAAAGAATCCTTGGAACGCTATATATTAATCTGAACCTTATTTAACTAACTTTTGTCATCAACAAGTTTTCTTAGTCATGACCTGCTTCTTAAGCCCTTAGTTATTTTTTAAATAAATGCACTCCACACATTTTTATGCTAACAAGACAGTCACAACATTGACTCAAGATTTTCCTTTTCATGTTAAGAACCAATTAATTCAATTTATCAAAACTGTAAAACAGATACGGCCATAGTGCACATTTATTAGACAAGCAAAATTTAGCTTTACACTTATAATACAATAATAAACGTAAAATACATATTTTATAACACCTTGCAAAAGAAATCAAATCTGAGCAATGCACAAATCTAAAAATTTTGGGAGATCAAAATAGGGAAAATTCTGTACAAATGTAATATAAAAATACGTTTCCATAAGAAAGAACCTTCTATTTGAGACTCAGTCTAGAACAGTATCTCCCATGTCTTTGTTGCTGCTCAAAAAATCCTGAGCAGTAGGAAAATACCCCAAGCACTTCCCCCCTCCCATCCCCTAAAAACATCTCACCCTAGCAAGCCCTGCTTGGATCACAATCTGCTTTCCAGAAACCAATAGGAGACAGTAAGAGTTATTATATTTGTTTCAAATTCATGCTGCAAAATGTTGGGAAAGGTCAGAGCAACAGAGCAGGCAAGCACAGGAGAACCACTCCAAAGACTTCTAGATAACAGAAGTGCAATGCCCAGTTTAGTGATATCCTAAGGTAGGCCAGTGATGGTTAAACAGTGACATACCAAAAACTCTTTCAAGAAGAATGACAGTAAGAGTTAGGAAGAGAATTTAACATATATTTAGGTGCCTAAATATATGTTTATATGTATTTACAACATTAGGTTGCCTGAAAATAAGTAGGAGACTCATCAAGGAGACTCATTATCTTTGAGGCAAAATACCTACATCTCACTGATGCCCCCATCTGATGTCTCTTCACAAATCTTTGATTCAATGTAGGGCTAACACACTTAGCTCCCTAGATGACTGCTGCCTGTGCAATGTTCTTTTAGAAGGAACTCCTTATTTAACTTTAGCTGGTTAGTGAAGACAACATCGGAATGTTTAGCACGGTGATGTGTGGTTTTTTTTCTTTTTTTTTTTTTCCTCAAGAATACTACATGCAGGTTAGTGAAACTATTCATTAGGCTATTCTGCAGTTACTTACCTATAACGTGCAGCAAAAAGAGTGACTGATTACACCAGAGCACTGACAGCACTATGTGATTAAAGTGTTTACTTTTGTGTGAAGTGGCTTCATATTTATATATACAGTTTGACTTGCTTGTCTGATAGCTTACCTATGTCTTCAAGAGTAGTTTTAACTTTAATTTACTACAAGTAAAATGACAATCAATTGCCAGGCAATTATTGAATTCCTAGATTGCTTAAAATAACCATCTCAGGACACTCGTAGTAAATGTGGAAATTAGTCACCTGTGTCTTGCTGCTTAATTAGGGGAAAAAAAAAATAATCACAATTTCAATCCTAAAGACTGCTGATTTTGCTATAAACAAACTATTTTAACTATCAGTTTTAAAATTCTACATACAAGAATACTTCAGATCCACAAAGCAACATTATTGTCCCCTGTATTCTGTCTCTATTGGGCAAAGGGTTCATATGAATCACTGGACATTGACTTACAACTCTGAATACTGAACTAGATTTACATCTTAAATTCTCAGTATGGACGAACAGTTTTCAAATCTCACATACCTGTCATATAGAAACTGCAAAAGAATAAATGAATTCTGGAAGATACTCCCAATTTTTCCCTCACCAAGTGATTTCAAGGAAAATTCCAACTGTATTGTTAAGCAAAGAACGTTGAGGAGCTGCTTTACCAGGTATAATTTTGTATCTTTTGTTTTGAAGCTCAGCTTAATTTAAGGAAGAGAAGTCAGAATTTTAGTTTATCATGAATTAGCAGTAGAGAATACAAATTAATTCAGTCCTTATATTGTATATGATTCATGAATTCACATACAAAATACAGCTTTTAGTATTAATATACGTGACCACATTTCTAATGAATTTGGTTTAATCTGCACAGTTTGTAAAATAAAGTGCAGGAAGCTTAACCTTTGGTTTCTTTCTATATCAAAGAAGTTCTGCAAAACAATTGATTTTTGTACACAAGTTTTACACTGCAAGCATTGCTTCCATGGTGAAGCAGACATTAGAATTGGGCATTAATGTTTTCTCCCTCCCCCTCTTTACCAAATTACCAAGTGTATGCTGCCATTGCTCTCTGCACAAATGGAAAGCTTGAGTCTTGTTCACTGTTGTACACTGGATGACAAAAACAAAAGGGAACTAGCAAGAGGCAGGGAGACCTAACAAGTGAAGGCAACACAATTCTTTTGTTAAGCAAATATCCTCTTGGTAAAATGAGACACAGACTATAAAATAGCAAAGTAACATTCAGTATGCCTTGTCTTCTTTGGCTTCACTTTTCAAAAGGATGAGAAAAAAATTTACCTACTTATGTTAACAAAGTATGGTTGAAAACAGGCCATGCCTCTACAAACAAACACTGAGAATTTAGCATCTCACTAAAATTTTGACATTTTGCTCTGGAACACTGCTATATTTATTTCAGAGTGATTCTACCTCCCTCTGGAGTATTACACTGAAATAGTGAGCCCTTTGAATGGTCAGCTGCTGCTCTCATTTGCAACTTAGTATTTGAAATTCATTAAAAAGAGCACTGTTATGCTGACTCATATAAACTTTTGTTTAGAAAAAAATTACATTTGTGGCTGATGTGCTTGGTTGAGTTTCCTTTTTACAGTGAAAGGGGGATAAGGAAACAAGCCCTTGAGTTTTTCTGATAAGGGAGAGATAGATGTGATACTCTTCAAGGAATTGTAGATGCGTAACACCATACTTGCGGAGATAAGTTTGCTGATGACAGATTAGTTCAGCATCTCCAGAGCTTTTACGTTCTGAAGTCTCCTAACGCCGCATGAAGCACAGTCAAATTGTATGCACACATACCTTAATATTAGAAGCAAACAAGGCAAAAATCAACTGCTTCTGTGGCATAACCGTTCAGAGATTTGGGTTGATCTGTACCAGTTGTAGCATTTATATAACAGCACAACATTGGTAAAGCTGGTGCAGTCAGAGCTTTCCTAGTATAATTCCATCTTTGCAGAGAGCTTTCGATAGAACTGCTAAAAAATATCCCACCTTAACACCACTTGACCATCAAGGCTCTGCCAGCAGTGGACTAGACAGCAGACCTAGCCTTCTATTTTCCTAATAATAGTATCTATCTCAGTTATTTCCTGTGAAGCTCTTAGCAGGCAACTGGTCATGAGATTTAAAAGCCACTCAAAGGCAATGAAAAACAGAGTTAGCTTTTTTTCCTTTGTCCTATTTTTTGTGCAGTATGGCTCAAGGGTGAGATTATGCATACCCATCAAAAAGACTCCTTGTGCATGGTCCTAATCTTGCTAGAACTGAATTTGAAATTAGATAATAAAGATCAAGGTTTTCCTGTCTAAAATGAATTCTGTTTATGGGAACTCAGCCTGCACAGTGACATTTTGTGTAATCTAGGTCAAGAGTTAAGGTTAACAGTTAACATAAAATGCTTTCTAATTAAGTAAGGCATCAGTTTTTAGGTAGGCTCTTCAGCAATGCCAAATTCTCATCCCATATCCTCAACAGTGCTGAGGACATCTAATCTCAGAATGTAGAAGTCACAGAAACCAGAAATCAACAAAACCATGCAAAAGTGAATAAGGGAAGAAAAAAAAATTGCTGGTGTTCAATAGCAGATACCTTGTATACATGTTTTACAAAGTTATTACATGACGGAAAAGATGGAAAGAGTGAGCAAAATTATACTTGTGGATTAGTCAATCTCATATATAATGATAACATTTAAAATCACTTTGGGTCTTCCATCTGACAACCAGGAAGAGGTACAATAAGAGACTGGGTTGTAGGTAAAAACTCAGATTCACCTACTTGATATGAAATCAACATTAGTAGAGACAGAACAAGGAAACAGATTGCACTGATGACTAAAATCACAATACCAAGTAAAGTAAATAGCAGTCTTCAACCTTTGAGAGCCAGAAAGCACTCAATGTTATGAGCAGGCTAATAGTGACAATCTGCTCATTTTATTATTAATTTAAATTAACACACATGGAAATTGATGAGAAATCTTAAATTCCATTCCTGTTAAATTACATATCAAATCACCAAAGAACATTCCAAACTTTAATCAACACTTTTCCACTACTTTCTGTCAACTTGGTATCAGGATCTAGGAAGCAAAGTAAGGCAAGCATAAACTCAGAATTACTTTTATGTAGCAATGCTGTTTAACTGTGACATTATCCCTGATAGAAAAAACACTACACAATACCTTTCCTTTTGAGTTTCAGACTTGCAAAGGAATTATCAGTTAGATGGGGTGATCTTCCTCCTACATGAAAAATTTAAAAAACCTCTTGAAAGTAAAACTGCTTCTGTCTGCTTCAAGAAGTTGTCCTTCAGTAGAAAGGATATCATCATTCCTCAGAGATGTAGCAATTTGACTGACAGAAACAAACAAGCTATAGCAATCTCTTAAAATATTTCACATTCCTCTGTAGCTGGTCAAGCAAAGACTAGTCTCAAAAATCCCTTATGTTAATTTCAATAAGCATTTGTTATTAAATTTCAGGCTTTTAGCTTTTAAAAAATTGTTTGATATGTATTTTGCTTTGAATCAAACCTTGAAATAAATATTACACATGGAAAACACAATATTTAAGTTAAGTCTGGAGTTCTATGAAGACAACACTGAAAGTGTGCAAGCCTGCTGTTATCACGCAGACCTCCAAAAGATGAATGACATCAGGACTTAAAAAAAGAAAAACAAACCCAAAAACACAAACCACCAAAAACCAAACCAAACACCAAACCCAAACTGAAAACCACACTGTGTCTCAAATGGAAATGTTATCTCTGTACTACAATATGTATTTTTTTCTAGTTAATAGTCTCCAGTTTCAGAGAAGTAATGACACAATATCCTGAAGCCAGGTATCCAAAAATCTCTTCACTTTGCTATAATACTGTAGACCTTTTACAATTAATTTAGTTCCTGCAGCTGGAACTCTATAATAGAAAGTAGGTGCTCTGAAATACTTTTGTGTTCTTGTATAACAGAAATTGGTAGGAAAACACCAGTCCAGATTCAAAAGTTTTTTTTTTTTTTTTTTCTTCTCCAGTTTCAATATGCTGAGCATCTGATGTTTACTCTAAAAGCTGCCCACATTCTCTTTCATTAGTGGGCCTCTTCTTGTGGACCAGATGGCCTCTCCGGCTTCAGGAAGTATCTGCATTCCCGAAGGAAAAACAACGAAGAATTTTGTTGTATTTGCTTCATGGTTTATCACAGTCTTCAGGTTGGCTTTAGTCACAACGTTCTTCCTCTACCTCTTTTACCTTGCAAACTTCAGATGGCAAAGAGGACTGAGGAATGCAGCTGAATGTTCGAATGCTGTGGGGATCAACTGGTGGCACCAGTGTAAGTGACTCCACGCTTAGTGCATCCGTATTGTCATCTGTTAATAATGATATTGTGGGCTGCTGTGCAGGAATCAGGCTAGGAGACAGGTTTGCTGTTTCTATGTCACTGTTTTTTAGAGCATTCTTGCTAGACTTGGAAACAGCTGAAAGAGTTTCATCAGTCAACATCATCTGACCAGAAATGGTCATCTGAGGCTGCTCTGGAGCTGAAGTGTCATCTAATAAAAAAAACCACCAAGAAACAATCAATATTCAACTTAGTATGTACATTAAGTCTAATAGTGTACTATCGTTTATTAATTTTTAAGAATAATTGGGTGGAAAATGCAGCTTTGTGAAGCACTGGGCTTATACATTCATTTTTTAGTAATTAGAAATAAAGCAAAATATGATGAAAGCATGACAAAATGCCAGTGAGAATCTGTTCAAATTAGGAACCAGAAAACTTTACACATTTAGTATTAGAATATGCAGCAATATCTGAAATATTCCTAGAGAGAGGAAATTGAAGGGAAGAATAAGAAAGCTTCTCCAATATTTAGTATAGACTAAAATGAATAGTCACCCCATACCAGGAAGCACTTTAGAAATAATAAAAAAAAAAGAACCCTTGTATAACTAGTTTTGCCAAGAGGTAGCTTGTTTCTTACAAAAATTTGGAATTCATTCTCTCTTTTCATCCTCCAGATTCACGTTTTGGTGACACCTCAACCACAGAACACAGAAATATGGAAGAACAGTATGTGCTTACTCTAACTGAAAGGTGCTGCAAAATAGACCTGTTTTTATACAGCCTTGTGTTATATGCTCCTAAGCATGGAGCATGCAACACCTAAAACAGCATCACATACTGCGGGAAACTGCTATGCTACTACACCTTCCCACACAATGGAAAAAACCCAACCGTTAAGAGTTATTTGTACTGTCCTCTTCCCCCTTAAAATCCTGGCTAGCTATCAAGTAAACTGCTCATTTGGCTCAGGTGGACAGTGAATGAAGGGGATGAGGCAATACAGCCTTATATGAGCAACCCAGAAAAATTAGTTTTTTTTTTTCTTTTTCTATTCAGACTAGAGGAATAGATGCCATTAAAGTAACAGGTATCCAGCTTCAAGACAGACCATTTTTAGAGCTGTTGTAAGAAACAGCATGTGTTCAAGTGTACAGGCATCTGCAGAAAAGACTACAAGGCAATGTAGTGAATACAGAAGCTAAGAATTAGGTTCTGTTTTTAATACACAGTGACCTTAAAAATGTCAGTTTCAATATGATTCCAATTAATCCTGTAACAGAACAAAAAAGCATGAACATAATGAAAAAAAAGAAAAAGAAAGCTGAGAATGGAATGGATATCAGTAAGGTATCAGTGGGATAACAGTTAGATTATTGGCTTTTACCTTTTTGGTAAAATAACCCACAACAGCAGTGTATTCTCACTTCAGAAAACCACTCAATTTTACTTTTTGCTGAATTGGTGGCTAAAGCTTCTCGCTTTAATCAAAACAAAATGTATAGATTGTACAAAAGTCTCCTTTTAAATAAAAGGGACCTCACTGGTTATTTTTGAAAAAATAAAGATTCAAAGTAACTGCAGATTCTTCTTTTTAGCTGTCAAGAAGCTTTAGTGAGAATGTAGCCATTGATAACAGAGGAAGTGATGCAAGACTTGCATAGAAAATGAACTGCCAAAACCACTGAAATGAAGTCTCATTTCTCTGAATTCCAAGATAGTTACTAACATTTAAGTATGCACAAAATAGTGAGTCATTGCGGTGATTTGACTTTTTTGAATTTATAAAATCTTGAAAGAGAATATCAAACATTTTTTGCCAAATTATTTATCTTAATTATAGTATGAATATTCACCAAAATTCAGGATTCAGAAACCTGGGACGTTCTGGTAAACGAAGTATTATCAATCAATGGCACTCCGCTCAGGAATGTTTTACCCAGCACGTTTCTATTGCAGTTCTGCTATTTCACTTCTGATTCTGCAGTTCATTTCTTAAATCACTCCTCCCCTTCTCCCAAAAACATATTAATAGATTTTCTCAATACTTTTGTTTACTGAAATCATGAGACAGACAGACAGACATACTCTTTTGTTATGCTGTATTGTTCCCAAATCCTTCCACATAGGATCTAAATTAATGCTACAGTGACTCCCTTCTTAATGCCACAAAGAAAAAGAAACTATTTGAAAAAAGTGTCCATAAAAAAAAAAAAAAAAGTATCTGGAGTCAACAAGTTCCAATTTTCTATCCAAAGGTCTGAAAAAACATTCAGAAAAAAGATAAAAATATCAAAAAAATGTAAGCAGAACATACTTTGTCCAGTAATTTTGCTGCAAAACAAAAGCTCTTCTATGCTTCCCTCCCACTTTTATTTACTATTGATACAAGTGTCTCTACTTTCAGTATTTCATTAGTTACTGTCAAGAGCTTCACTTCTGTTACTCTGTTACTGTATTTAAAGGTAGCAGTGACAGATTTATGTAACCTAAACTGCAACTATAAGCTTGTGCTAGGTAAGTTTTTAAGCATGATCATCTCTTGTATCTTTTGGATACAAGGACAGGGAAAACAATCCTAGACCACAGAAGAAGGGAAACTAGATAGAATACAGAGATCCAGCATCTTGGAATGAAAATTTGGTCTATAAGAGGCATTACAATGAAAAATCAGGCAAACCTCTTGATATAAAAGGTTTTCACATGTAACATCTCCCAGTTAACTGAATCCATGGCTTCAGGACAGTAATTATGAATAAGAAAATCTTTGAGGCTCAAAGTTTCAAAGCCTTTTGAAGTCATACTCAATTCAGAGAAGGATCTCAGATAAATATGTATTTATGTATGATCTGAATTCTTAAAGTCTGGAATAAATAGTTGGCAAAAAAATGCAACTTAGCTCAAAAAATCCCCCCAAACTCAAGAAAGGATTACTCTAAGTATGTCTGTCTCTAAAATCCAGATGGGTACCAAGCTCCTAATTCAAAAAAGTTTTCAGGCACCCAGTATGTTTAGAGAATATGTCCTCTACCCATTATCTGGAAATTCTGTCTACATTGCACATAAAAATACTAGCTGGCTTTCAAGAAAACCCCAAACTCCTAATGCTTGTTTCCAGTTTGACTTTTGGATAGAAAGAGCAAAAATAATTGTCATTTTTACCTGAATAAAATCACCAGTCATTAAGATATGTTCTACCATTAAATATCAAAGTTATCATCTAATATGGGAAAAGAGCATTTCTATTTACCACCTCCCCAACCCACCTGTATTTAAGTAAGAGTGTTCTGGCAAAAAATATAAACCCAATCTGCAACCAGGGAAACTGAGGCCAGTTTCTTAAAACAGTTTTGATGTTAACTTTTAGTTCTAAGAAACACCCCCCACCTACCCCCAAATTTAAGTACAAAACAAGGTTATTAAACAGGGTGTCCTTTTGCAAGTGTTTGGGTATTAGCAGCTCTCTCTGGTTGCAGTGGCTTCAGGACATTTAAGATGTTTTTCAGCGCTTCTAAAATGCTACCAAGATTATTATTATTATAGCAAAAAAATTCAAACCAGATGACTCAACTTCTCTTATATTAACTTATGTGAGGGATGATTATTAATGAAAGAAGACAGAAAAGAACAGGAAAAGGAAAGAATGAATATCACCTACAGAGAAGTGTCCTAAGCTGTACAGCAACATACCATGAAATATTAACAAAAATATAAATAACAGGACATTAAGTGAAAAGATGCAAAGTGTATCTATAAAGATGAAAAAAGGGCATTTATATAATTTTAACAGAGTAAATATCTTCATGCCATGATAGTAAAAAAATTAAATTAATTAGATACAAGTTAGAACAGGTTATGTAAGTAAGGTAACCTGAAGCATACTTCCATCTTTTTTTGCTTCTGCTTCCCCTCCTCAGGCAGTTAACAGTCCATAAAACCACCTGCCTGAGTTCAAGAATCACAGAAATGATATGTTTGTGCCATCACAGTCCAAGGACAGTCTAGTGCTGAGTGCTTGTACATTTTACTCCAGTTATAAATAGGTTTCTTGCTGCTAGCCAAGTACCTGCATTACTGTCCATTCAGGAGCCTGTGCTTACTAAATTCCACTACAGCCATGGCTGCCCCTGTGCAAATGAAGACATAGCTGCTTTGAAGCTGGAAGCTTGATAGCAGAATTTTCATCTTTGGCAAGAGAATCAAGAAATATGGCAGAAACTGTAGATAAGGCTTTCAAAAACAGCTAATTATTGCTTTACAATTCTCCCCCAAAAAACAGTAGAGACAAAAATTTATGATGCTTTCTTCAGTTTCCTACCTCACTGTCATTGCTGTCAGCATGGAAACAACATACGTTCTATTAACTGTTACGGGCTTTTCAAAGCTTATGGAGGAACCTGCCTGAATTGATATTGCGCGAGTTTCTGTTGCAGCTGCTGCTCGAAGACCTAAACCCAGTGTCCACCGTGACTGTCAGCCTCCGACAGACTAAACACCCGCCGACGTCCTTTCCTGCCAGACCTTACTAGAGGAAAACACAGCGATATATCATACGAAGGCTTTAACAATGAAACAAGGAAGGGAAACTGGAATGAAGACAAAGGATAAATGTTAGAGTAGCAACAAGAATAAGTGACAAGGACACATCCGTAACTGCTGGTATCTTGAATACAATTTTACACCACACCAAGAGTCTTGTAAGTTTGGAAATACTTCTGAAGCTGGAAGTATTCATTCTTTAGAAACAAGCACGTTTAACTGAATTAAGTTTTTTGCTTACTTATCTGGAAATGTTCATAATAGAGTTTGGGCTATGTCTAGCAATACCAACAGCACTTACACTGAGGAGGGACTGGCAGATATTTATTTGCATTATGATCTACTCACATGCTTTAAAAATCTTGAGATAAGTTATGACAAATTCTGGTGAGACTAAATTATTCTGATTTCCACTGGCCATAAAAATATAAGAGGTGCACTGCTGTGCAGTTGACAATACTTCAGACCATGCAGCCCTACTATTCTATGATATGAAACTGAAGTATTAGATTCGGTTTATAACAAAGTCAAACAGAACGTTTTAAAAGATAGCAGCAGTTCAGATGATGATGCTTAGTGCATAGAAAGTTTCTTTTCTTGAAACTTTCTAGAAACAAAAGTACTTCCTCACCTAGTTAGAAAATTACTAGCATCATAGCACAGAAGAGATCAAACCACAATTACATTACTGGTTATAGAGGGAAGAGATAGGGATGGTTTCAGTAAGATGGCAGGCACTGCTCTTAGAGACTCTGTGTTCAATTAATCATCTTCCCCTTGGAATACATAAATTTTATTTTACAGATTGGAATCCAATATATTCTCTGCAACAAGGGACAGCTCTTTGTACTTATTTTAGACCTTTACCATCAATATCTGCCAGAAGTGTGAAATACAGCATAAGTGGCATAGAGGATCAATGCCTTCTGAAGTCCTCAATATCCATTGCTCAGATGTAAACATTTTCTTAAGTATCGAAGCCAACTGCATTTTAAAGCTTAAGACAACTTAAAAAGTGATAAAATACAGTGTAGATTACATTACACATACATAATTCTGGAAGACTGTTAACTTACAGTAAGAGAGATACTTTATCTTAATCATTGGCCTATATAAAAATAAGCACTTTAAAGAAGTGCACAGTTCCAACAACAGTAGCCAAGAAGAGACTGTATTCTAAGCTCAGAAGCTTGATGATAAAAATCTGCCTAGCAAGAGAACATTTTTATCTTATGCATAGCAACACTTCAGACAGACATGTTAATTTAAAAAAATCATGTCAATACAAAGGAAAAAACCCAACCTGATAGCAGAAATTGTAGAACCTTTTTTTTGTCTTGTTAGGGATTCTGCATTCTTTAAAGGATGACTACTTTTTCAGTTTTAAGGAATGGAGATCTTGTAAAGGGCTAAACTTAATCCCCAAATACTGCAACTGGGGGAGCTGCTAGGCTTTAAAATACCTGTGCCATGAAGTGCTGTGGCAGTTATTAGGTCAGATAGTTGACAAACTCAGGAATAAGAGTTTATTTTACTCATGACAAAGCAACTATTGTTCTCTTATAATGACTGAAACATGCACAGCAGTCATGTGATTATATGTAATTTCAGTTAACTTCTCACATTAAGATACTGTATGATTGTTAGATGCAGACAGGAGTAATAGCAAGTACAGTATTTTTACAAAACACCAAATTCATTTTTTTCTTTCGATATATTTTTGAAAGCTCTTTTACTGTTTAACCATTATTGTAACTAACAATTATGCAATTTGTCTGTATTTTATTCTATCACTGTTTCATGTAAAAATCGGCATGAATGTTCCAAATCTTATTTCCTGACACAACTCGAATGATTACAAATACCATGTCAAATATATCAAATTCTAAACAGTTTAAATCTGTCAATAGACAGCAGCTTAGGACACTATAATCACAAGCTTACAGTAGAAACAGCTGTCACAGTGTAAGATGCTGCTCCTAGGGAAGGTAGTTTCCTTTAAATCCACATACACCATTTCCCCTCTATCTTGTCTGGCCTTCCTGACTGAAGTTCCCGAGCAACCTAGTATATTCTTCATGGCCAACAACCTGAGCAGTTGCCAGAACAAACAAGAGAATGGGGGAGGGAGGAACAGAGAGCACGTATGTGTGCTCACGTGAGTGTGTTTAAAATGGAATGGGAAATGAGAAGGGAGATTCAAATGTGACAGATGGTGGCAGCATCCAAGTGCTACCTTGGGGCATAAACCAGATCTTGGTAGCTTCTTGCTGTTCATCAGCTACTTGTTACTTCCTCCTTGAAGGAGTTACTTCACAGTATGCAAGCCTCCCCTTCTGCTTCACAGCAGAGTAAGGCAGTTTAATTTCAATTGTTCTCACGGGTTAAGGGAAAAATCACACTGCTTTACACTGAAGTGGGTGAATACCAACAATTGTTTCTTGTAACTCAGCTGAGTGGTCAGTAAGACCTGATATAACACAGACAGTGGTCAAGACAGTACTGCTTATTTCAGCAGTGTACTTCTGTTCATGCAGAAGCCTACAGAACAGCTATCTGGACAAACCAAACAGATAATCTCTTTCACAGTCATATTCCTGGCAACAGTTTCCAGTATAGATCACAATTATAATTGCAGTAAACTGGTCAAATCAATATATCACAATCAAATCAAATCAAATCAATAATAGATCACAATTAACTTGCAGTAAACTGGTCAAATCAATTAATGCAGAAACACTGTTCCCAGGAATACACAATAGTATTGATCTGACCCTGAAGATTAACAAAAAGAGACAAAGCAGGTCCCTGGGTTGGAGAAAATGTTCTCCACGACCCCACCCACCAAAGACCCAGCTCCAAGGATTTCGGAATCTTCTCTAGTCTATACTAAGGACCTTCAGACACACTCAGCTATAACTGTTTAAAACATTACTTCTTCATTATTGGCTGCAACTATATTAGCAGTTTGATTCAGACCAATAGAGCAGCTTTGGAGAATTATGCACACTTACTGTTTTAGTCTGATTTTAGGAACACTTTCTGTGCATTAATGAGCTTCTTTCACAAGAAAGCCAAACTCTAAGATATGCTGAAACTATGCACCAAATACACGTCAAACATTAATAGCAACATACACCTGAACTAATAAATGGTCCTTCAGACAATCACATACATGGCAGGGATGCTTGGTCCTAAAAGTCGAACTGAATATGGTCCACAACAAAATCCCTAGGCCACATGCAGATTATACATAACCACCTCAGTACCAACTCACTGTCACTGTCCTATGGCACTGAGCTACCTGCTCATGCACATACAGTCACTGTCCTCCTCTTTGTTACAGCTTTCCAAGTAAACAAAATCCAGGAGTTGAGCTCAAAAGTCATCCCTGCTGCAGGTTAATGCAAGCTGCTGATTTGGGACTGATGTAGGTGATGCAGATTCTCACATTCACTTCCATGACTTTGCTGAAGGTTACTATGCTTATAGCAGTAGGGCACGGAATTGTATCCTCACAAATAGATTAGCTAAAGCCTCTGCATCAGTGTGCCTAGATTCCATGCAAAAAGACAAAACCCACCTAACGACTGGTTTCCTGCATGACATGTGGCATTTTGAACATACTTTATGATTAAACCACAGTAAGTCATACATTAAGCGTGGACAGTTCACACAACCTAACTGGTAGAGTCCAGACTGCAGACTGAAACCAGGCATCTAAAAAAACAAACCAAACCCCAACCAAAGTAAAATGAACTTTCCTCTGTTTTTTGTTTGAGGTTTTGTTTATTTGTTTTTGTGGGGTTTTTTTGGGGGGTGGTAGAGTTTGGCCTTTTTTTGGTTGTGTGTGTATATATATATATATTTAAATAATCAATGAGCAGCTTGTAATTGGGGTTTTTTAATCGCAGGAAAAATAAACAGAATTTTATATTATACAAATGCCAACATACTGTGTAAGTACATTTTAATTTTCTTAACTACAGTCTATGATTATTCTTCAAAAAAGCACTATCTCTGCATGCTAGGTGAGTAACTATGTGCTCTGGATCTACCCAGCTTTTCATAGAAATCAGATTATATGTACTTGAAAGACCTCATTTTGAAACATGCAGAGTAGTCTTGCTTGATATTTCTGTGAATTAGTATGTTGCTTAAAGCAACAAAAATAATTTCCATTTTTTTTTTCATTACCAGTTTTCTCTTAGCCACTATTGCCAAGAACTTGTAGTTGCATTTCACTTCCTGATCACAAAAGATTTAGATGCAGCAAAGGACATCACAGATAAGCCATTTTACACTGCTCAGGAGAAACATGTAAACAAATAAATGTTTTCTTGGCAATCCCTATTGAGACTTATGACAAACGATACCACTTCTCTATGTCATCATCATATGTTGTCTAGGCCATCAAGAGACTGGGCAAGAGCAATCACTTATCAACAGAGAAAGTAAAATGAGGTCCTTCCAAAGTTTGGAATAGATTGCATATAGAAAAATATTCCAAATTTTATTCTGGAATCACACATATTGCAGGAATATTTTGACTATGTATTAGTCTCTCACAATAACAGTTGCTTTTTAATGCAGTCTGGGTGCCAGAATATATTACATAAGCCTTTGCTTACACTTTGTACCATATTTCTTGCAAGGATAGTCACTTTGGACATATAATGTTCACTGATGTTCTGACACTGTTCAGTGAAACCTATAAAACACTGAATGCCTAACAAAGACTGTATCAATTCCTGCAGAACTGCAGAGAAGTTTAGATTTCCAAATTAGGCTTCCAAATAAAGACAAAATAATGTGTCTTCTAAGTGGGAACCACGACAACCGTTTCAAGGAGTGGTTGACATTTGAAGTGACTGTTAAAATGAGAGGGCTGTTTGAAAAGGTCTTAAGAATCAAGTTATTTCTATTGTTTTATAACCAAAATGAGGTAGGTCAGTTCTAGCATGAAAGCATTTAAGTATGTACCCTTCAGGATTTACTTCTTGTTTAGTCTCCAGTTTGAGGCTTTACCTCACACATAATTTGCACTCAGAACAAAACACTATTACAGGATTGTCTACAAATCCTACACAAATGGAGGAGGAATGAAGGCATTCTAACAAGAAGTCCCAGTATAAACATACCCACTAAATAAACTGACCAAACACATGGTAGCTACATTTGTGAAAGTTATACTGTCAGTATAACTTCCAGTGGTAGCGTTCAGCTAGAAGAGTGTTATTGAAAAAGCATCCTGAATAAGTATTTTCAAATATTTGGTATTTGGCCCTTTGTTACAAATTAACACGAATATCAGATAAACATACAAAAGCACATATCATCCAGTTCAAAAAAGATGCTTCATGTGAAGACAACTTATCCACTATGGTGAAATGCTAACAGCTTACATTATAAATTTATACAAAGCAATATCTCAGTTTAAAAAACCAAAACATTTAAAATTGTATCTGCTAGGAAACAAGTCAGACAAATAGGACATTATTTCACCAGTACTTAATATCACTGCTGAAAGATGCCAAGTATTTATTAAGAGTTCCAGAAAGCTGAAGAGATTAAAATTTGCACCACAACTTTAACTGGTGTAGTTGAATGATCAAGTGACCTAAAAACATAAAGCTCTACTGTTTTTAATCCAATAACATAGTAACTTAATTTTACAATAAGCTACTCTACATCCCTCAGTGCCTAGGCTGAAAATCATTATTTAATACCTGATGGGCTCTGTGCAGCAGAAGGAGTGGATGTAGAGCTTGCAGTCACTGAATCACAGCGCCCTGTACTCCCACTGCCACTGGAAGGTGATGGTGATGAGACTGGTGATGGATTGTGCTGATTTATACACTGGGCTACAGCAAAGCCTGCAAAACAGGACAATGAATTTTATGAGCTCCTAATAAGCTTGAAAGAGTTAACCTATGAGAAAGAGTAAAAGCAAATATTGCAAAGTGCCACTAATTTCATGTTGTGACCCAGGTGATGCACTCTCTTCCACCTTCATCTCAGAAGCCTGAAAATCTGAATGCATCTTACTGAAAACATACTACAAATGCTGATCAATGAACAAGAAAGTAGAGGTTAAGGGATTCAAAGCCTTTTAAAAAGGTTAAAGCTTAGAGCTTGTACCAACACTGAACACATAAAAAAAAAGTTCAGAAAAAAAAAAAAAAATAAAAACTTCAGAAATTATATTCACGTTCACTGTTGCTCCCCATATGTTGAAGATCCCTGTTTGGGATGACCTGCTAACTCACTTGTGATTAGACTCAACTTTGAACAAGTCAGGATATCACTCATGAGATTAAAACCAGTAACTTGCCCTTTACTGTATCTTCCAATTAGCAGTTGTTTTCCCCATTTGCTCTGATTTTTCAGCTGAATTTCTAACTTTAGAGTTTTCCTAGTTTTCTTCTTAAAGTCAATGGTTTGATCTTCAACCACATTGGTATTACAAAAATGCAGATGAATCAAAACCTTACAACTCCAGCATCTACTAGCATAGTAGCATTCTACCGTTAGAATGCTATGGAATAACCTGCTAGAATTCACAACATGCTCTCAAAGAAAAGTTCATGAACTGTCTTTCCCACACAAGTCCAGTGAAGACAACTACCACCTACACTGTTTATACTTCCTTGATCTTTTACTTTCTTTGGAAGATCGGACGCTGACCTCGGCAACTTTCCTCACTACAACATGCCCATGACAATGTCTCAATTTCATTCGCAAGGCTTTCCTTTGGCAAACATTCCTCCTAGCACTTACAAGCTTTTAGTCATCTCTACAGCTTTTGATAGCAAGCAGCTTTGTAGAAGTTGAAGTGCTTCTTACAGCAAAAGAAGTATCTTCAGTATGGGTTGTATGTCAGATGCCACACACAACTCTGCTGCTTTTGCAGCCCTCCTCACTCTCCCATGGTAAAGTATTAATGCAAAAAGTTTACTTTTTATTGTCAGTCCCCTGAATTATTGAAAGTAGCCATGATGTGCACTGTGAAACACCTAACAATATACTACTTGTTGCCTTCACTGCATAGTGGACACTGAAAAGTATCTGACAATTAGGTATGAGAAAGCAAATTCATCACAAAATTCTTTATTCTTTTATATGAGGAATTTCCTGTGGCACTAGATGGATGATTCACTCATTACAGAGAATGTCCTATATGGGGAATTTGCTGGTGCCATGCAGCAGGCAGCCAGTCAAAACTCAGTTTAAATGGGCTTGTTACAAAAAGCATATTAAGGCTTTAAACCACAGACTTGACAAGTCAGGAAAATGCTAGCAACACATACTGGCAGGTTGTGTTACAACCACAGAATGGATGAATAAGGAAGACACAGAAAAAACCTAACATAGTCCTGTTAATAATCTGATTTAATCTGCAGTTGCACCTCTTACCCTCTACCTCCCATGCTTATACTTATACTAGACTTAAAAGCATGTGCAGAAAACAATGCCACCTGAATTGCTGTAGTACTTGTAACACAGTTTTAGATGGGTGAATGCCACTTTTACCAAGCTTTTACCTTATTTTAAACTACAATTCATTGTGTCCAAGATGAACACCACTTGAAAGAATTAAATGACCACCATAGCAGGAGACATCTATTTTAGTTAAAAAACCAGAAGTTTGGTAAGCAGCTAATTTTTCTATAAATGTAGATAAATCCATATATTTCATTTCAGAAACCAAGCTAATTGATCTTTTACAATCATTTAAACTGAAGTTACACAGTGACGCCTGATTGTCTGCAAAAAGTTAACCACAAACTAAACTACCTCAAACGTGGAAGATTTCTATAGCACTCAGGGCCACCGATACAGTTTTTAATACAACAAATATGCATTGGGTTTCTCATACATACTTCATATTTTGAAATATCAGTTAGGATGGGAAACAAGGAATAATCAATGGACTTGTGACCACAGAAGTGAGACAAAGCTATCTGTTAAAGTGGATGAAACTTCGTTTTGGAACAGTTACTAAAGACATTGGTATAGAAGTGCTAACATCAATATATTTTGTTTCCCTTACAGTGCTGGAAAAAGTTGTACCCATCCAAGACATTCTATATCCACAAAAGATCTGCACTTCAAGGAAGGAGAAATCTTCCACCCTTACCAAAATACTAGAAATAGTAAAAGTAGTAAACAAGGTCTACTGTGACCACCATAGGAAAAGCTGGCCTGATTCAGCAAGATTGCCTGCCTAAAGGTTCTGCAGAACAGCACTCATGGATTCATGTCCTTACACTGAAGCATGTACATATTTTTTTCTCCCAATACAACTGCAGAGGAAGGATTTTGAGTGTGCTACAGGAAGGTAATTTAGATAGTAGGGAAATCTAAGTCTAAATCATTCAACATACTGTAACTGGGGAACTACTGACCAAGAACAAATACTCTAACCAGGAAACTCCTTCCAGAAATATTTACAAAGAAAAGGTGAGCAAAATTAATCGTGGCTATGGGAAGTGGAATAGCACTCCAAAGGTTAGTTACAAATATTTCCTTTCCAGTAGTCATCATCTTGCTTCAACATAATTTTCCATTTAAGATGCAGTAAAGGTGTTACTATAAAAGTATACCTTCCTAATTCCTTGGAGAATATCTTATTTCCATAATCACAACATTTCATAAGGCCGTGTTTCTTTCATAAAATACATATCATTTATCCTTTTGCCATGTTTTACATAACAACAGGAAAATCTACAAAACAGCATCTTTGCAAAGTGCTATTCTGCCTCAGAAACCCTGATGCACTTATTCAAAATTTAAACTTGTAGAGATTGTTTACATTTAAGAAACTCCATTACAACTTCATAAAACTGGAAAATAACTTTTAATGCAAAAAATGGGTTTGCTGCCAAGCAAAAATTTTTACAAAACGAATTGGTCACTTGCAGCAGGTATGGGCAGGAGAGCTTCAAAACTTCAATCAGCATTAAAAAATGGATTAAGTGACATTTTTAGTTTCCACAATTGCTGTGCAATGCCAATATATGACGGCTGTAGCTTTATTCACAGTTCTCACCAATCTAGTATACTTAGCAGAGTAGTTTCAAGTCCAGGGACCAGAGGACTTAATCCTTTGCCATGGCTGATACTCCTTATGCCTTGCCACCACATCCTCATTATGAGTGATACTTTGCTGAGACTGAATTTAATTTGATTGTCCTTTAATGCACAAAGGAGCTCTAATATTAAAGTATGCCACAATTTCTTCCATCAGCTAGAGAAGTCTTTTCTCCAAGTTGAAAGAAATTAGAATAGTTACTGTGGTTCAGCTGGCATGAGAGCGCTAAAGTATATGTCAGCATTAAAACACAAGACTTGAGAATTCTCAGTCTTAGAATGTGCTATTTTGTAGTTTTTTTTTTTTTAACCAAAAAAAATCCTTGTAAATAGTAAACTCCGCAAATGGTAACAGTCAAAGATTGTTTTGAAATCTGTCTCTCACTAAGAAAAGAGTCTAACTAGCAGACCTGCATATTTAACTCTGTTTCAATGGTATTTTTCATTTCTGGCACACAAGCAGTAATTCATATTGCATAAATCAATTGAGTTGTATCTTCTGTAATCTTCGTGCTGTCAAGCTACCTTAATAGGGCACTTCTGCTTGAATACCTCTGCACAGAAATCATTTAGTTCTACATTATTCCGATGATGACAGGAAAATTACTATCTAGTTCATAACCCAGAATTCTGATGATCAGGCAATATAAATATGTTTAAAAAAAGGCCGCAGAGTTAGGTTTTTAAAAGCAGCAGTCATAACTAAATATCAAATTTGAACTGGATCAAAGGATATTAATTAGAAAAGACAAACTGAGGTGATAAGCTGAGTTCGCAGTTATCCTCCAATATTCTTGCACAGAACAAAACCCCTTTCAATATACTTATAGGCTATAAAAGCAACTGTATCCTAGAATTACTGAGCACGGGACACTTCAACTATCTCACACTGGAAGAAACTTAGTACTACTTAAGTAAAGTATCCCAATCTGATGTTCCAAGAGTAGCTATGTTTGACGATGAACAGGAAAGGGTTGATCAGAGTCCCGCAGTACAGTTCCAAAATAACGTGTATATGACATTCAGATCTGCTGAGCAATCTAACATCACAGAATCAGTAACAAGTGCAGATGCCCATCAGCTGTGAATGTCAAGGTCAGGACTTTGATCAAAAGGGTCTGTTTTCTTACTGTGGATGGAGAAGGCAAATAAAAGGTTACACATGTTTCAATAATGCATTCATATTACTAATTTAAAAAATAATCTATGATTTACATCCTAAGAAAAGCACATCATTTTTTACAGAGTATAATATTCTTTTAGAGTGAATAATATTTGACAAAACTAAAATAAATTTTCTTCACATAAATCTGAACAATCTTAAACACTGCTTAAATAACTCTTAGGCTTTGTTTAATTTTCCTATCCCCAAGAAGTGATGCAACTTTATATAGAAATCTCACCTACATTTTCTTTGAAAGGGTTGCAAAGCTATTAAAGACCATTTTTTTCCTCTGGATTTTAAAATTAAGGTAGCTATGCAATGGCTAATATTAATAAAAAGTTTTTTTACAACTTTCCCCCTCCAAATCTTATCATCATCATCATCTTCTAAGATATTAACAATGGAGAAAAGAGTAAGAGATCTATTGATTAATTTTGCTTTCCAAAATACATTTTCTCAGTAGGAAAGCGACCACACTTGTTAAAATATTTAGATGTATGTTTTGCAGGAAACTGTTAAAATTTTCTTTAAGACACACCAAGCATATAAAACTCAGTATACAGCTGGGATTTGAAACTAATATTTGAGTTTGCTTGGGGAGGAAGTGATTATTTACTTTCAATATGAGACCTATGTTCAAATCTGCGTGTTTCTTTGAAAACAATGTAATTATTTACATAAAGATGCTTCAAAAGCATCATACAAATACATAGCTAATATTTACAATGGTGAACAGTACAGCCAACTCAACTATCCCTAAATGCTCTAACACGCTGGCAAAAGGCTTTTACCTAAAATAGACCCTGAAGTATATTGATGGTCATGACTTCATGATGATAAAATTGATCAAGTGAAGGATTTTGCTTCTGTTCTTTTCTGATAAGAACTGCCATTTATCAGGCCACTGGGGATGGCTATCTCATCTCATTGTATTTGCATAACCTGTACTTTTTAAAAAGAGTATTAACAGGGATGTTCTGAAGCATGGCCTGTATATTCTTGTCAGCTTTCATCAGTCTTGCACAAAATTTGGTTTTAAGCTATAACAACCCTCATCCTCTCCCCCCCACATATCAAGCAGTGCTTTCAAAGCATATTTTAATGTTGGACCATGAAACAATAAAGCAAAGTGAAGCACAGTTTAAGTACAATAAGTTAAATGTATGCTCTCTTAGTGAAATATGTAGAGCTTTAGGTAAGCACTACAGCAGAAACTGAACCAGTAAGTGTTCTTGAAAATTCTAAATTCATTAAGAAGAGGAATCAGGGAATTGACCAATAGTAGTACTAGAATTCTTCAGAGTGAAATTTGCAGGAGGGTAGAAAACATTTATATCATTGTCAATTTATTGAAAACCATGCTGGATGTACAGTACTGACAGCTAACATGGTCCTATTAAAAATGTGATTAATCTTCTAAAAATATTGCCAAAACTCTAGCTCTCCTTTAAATCAACAAAACACACCATCATCAAGGGAAATCATAACTTGTTTCTTACAAGTACAACCAAATTAACAGACTTTGAGCTTTGCAGAACTCTTAACCACTTAAAAGCCGTAGCATTATGAATACATGAAGCTAGTAATTTTACTGTACCTTGTTCCATAATTTTTTATTTTACAAGGCAAAAAATCTTCCTCAAAGTAAAAATCACTCCAAGCCTGATTAAGGGATAAACACAAATAGCTTCCCATGAAAATCACTCAGAAGGAAGCCTCATTATTAGGAATTATTATTAGGAATTATTATTATTATTAGGAAGCCTCATTTATTCATTAGTGAAGACAAGGGGAGAAGTAAGAGGCATTTGATAGTTATTTTGTAATCACATGTAAAACATATATCAATTTTTGTTGTATTACTGGCTATCATAAAATGTATTTTAAAAATGCAGCATTTGAAGTACTTCATGTTCTGTGACTGGTTTCTCATACTTGGTATTAAATAAAAGCTTCAGAATACTTTTTTTTTTTGTCTGGATTTGCATGTGCATACAGTGGAAGCCTCCATTTCCTGGAATTCTAAGTAAGTATGTGGTTGTCTGAACAAACTAACACATTGCACTAGCCCCAGTTATCTCCCCCCTTCAAAAAGAGGAGAACTAGTAGATCAAGTCACTTGTTCTGAACACAAACACACTCTTCTTTGAGAAGTTTGATTCTGAAACGGTTAACACTGGCATCTTTTCAAGCACACCTTTTCCATGGAATTAATGTCAAATAATGAAATATATTCTCATCATACAACATACTCTTGAAAAAACCCAACCAGCAATATAAATGCTTTTATGATTCTTGTCCCCCAGGCTCAGGATTCAAGCAAGCTAAGCTCCAATTTAATCCCTAAGGCAGTATACCATCTGGTTTCTAAGTAGGGCATTTGAAGTTTGAATGACATTTAAAGAGAAATGCTGAGTTTTGTGAAATGATTGGCCACTGCATTCTTTTGTGTAATACAGCAAAATTAAGTACTTGCAAGCAGTATGAAATTCAACTTTAAAATGACTCAATCCAAAAGGAGAAAAGTTCACCATCTGGAAAAAAACTCTGCAGAGAAGTCAATTTGTGAAGGAGACATTAAGGAGACAAAACATCAAAAAGCTTATTGATTTAGAATAATTCCTTTAATTTCAATTACAATTTAATGTTTTAAGAGTAGCTGTGGCCCTTTTCTGTCTTGCTAGGTAAACGAAGCAGTGCACAGTATCCCAGCTGTTTTTACAAACTGGCAAGAAAATTATCATAACCAAATTAAAGAACCATGCACAACTGACAGATGTGTTGCATAAATATTGAGTATGCAAAACTAACTGAATTTCTAAAGGAAGGCAAAATATTAAAACATTTCCAGTGTATTTGGAGAAACTGCCACAGATGTATTGCTCACAATGTATCTGGAATACACCCCCAGGTTTCTCTAGGAGTAAATTTTTCCATAAGCCTCATCCTGGAGTTGTGTGTTCAGAAACAGATCACAGTAAGATTTTAATTGCTTATACAAGTTACAGTGCAGCTTTTGCAGATAAAAATCACCAAGCAGAAACTGCTTGATAAGGAATGCTAATCTTACCTGGAACTTTGTCAACAGATGCAAAAACAGAGCGTTGTACTGTAGGATCACTGCTACCACGTCGTGACTGATCATAAAATCTAAATGGAAGGTGTTGGGCTGTAGCTGAAGAGCTGTGTCCAAAACCCATAACAACTTCAGTTGTAGGCTGAACAGGAAGATCCAGGAGTGCTATGTTTAATCACAATTGATAGTTTTTTGTTACTCAAAAATACATAAAAGGAAGAGTAGGTGAAAAAAAAATTTGATAGCTTGCTCAGAATCTTAAGACTAAACCAGATTGTTTAACATAACATGCCCACATTTACCTCTTAATGATGGTTACAATTGCATTGGAAAAGAAGAAACACAACATTTCTGGCAACTTTTTCTACCATTGCTGTCCACACCATATTCACACTAAGGAAGCCTCAGAATACAGTGGAGGAGAAAAAAAATAAGGATTACAGTAAGCTCCTTGTATTAAACAAGCCATAGGAGTAATTTAACAAAACCTCCAAACCTTCTGTTTCTTCCTGTACAAGTAAAGTCATTCATTAGTTACAATTGAACACTGCTGAAAGCCATTTAAAGAGACAATCTGCTTTAAACTGGCAAAAGAATGCCTTTGCATTACCATTCAACATAAAATTTTAATATCAAAATAGACCTGTATTAACCTCAAACTTGCTTTGAATTTTTTTAACATGAAGCAAGCCATAAAAGCATGACATCGCTATTTTGTAAACACAAAGCATAAAACTTCTTAGTTAGCTTCCTACAGAACCATAAGACACTAAAATAACATTAAATCATCTATAATCAGAATAATTCTCTGGCCAACTCAATTTCAATACCAGCTATGACTCTGATTAGTTAATTACTGCTCTTGGACAATCCAAGATAGTCGTTTTCTCATTTGCAAACTTATTTTTCCTTCCTGTATTTCCAAGTTTCCTTTTCTGTACTCATTAATTTATTCAGTTTACTGATAAGCTTCAATTCATTCTTCAATTTATTCAAGTAATATTTTAATCACGTTTTGCTGTTTACTCAAATTAACTCTCCTTCATCTTTACGCATGCAAGGCCTCCAAACACAGAAAACTAGCTGCTGATACTCCACTTAAGATTTTGGATTGCTCATCACCACCACATCCAAGCATTATCACCAACATCATCAGGACTCCATCCAACTCGGGACTCAGGCAAGCTGAGCTCCAATTTTGTCCTAAGGCAGTAGAACATCTGCTTTTTAAGTAGGGCCTTTGAATTTTGAATCACTGAATCACAATTAAAGAGAAATGCTGAGTTTTGTGAAATGGTTGGCAACTAGGGGTAACACACAATTCCTTCTTTTTCATCCTTTCTTTGGTGTGTCTATCATTAAATATGAAAACACATATTTTACTCCAATAAAATCTATTGCTTGGAAACTAGACGCTGGTTTACAGTTTTCTATGGCACACTACTAAGATTTTTCTAACACATCCTTATGTTACAGAGTGACTTGCTATGACATACAAGTCTTGTTTCTCAGAATCATTTCAAAATAGCTATTCACCTGCTATTCTCTGCATTTTCATACGACGAGCTTGGATACGGCCTTTTGCAAGACGTTGTTTTGCAATAATGCAGCGAATGTGATCAGAAAAAATAAATGTAGCTTGAAGGATAGGGAAGGGCTTAGAATGAGGACTTGAGGCAGGCTTATGAATTATTATGTTCAGAGCTCTGCTGTCATCCTCTACTCCCGTCACCTGCATATCCTAAAGAGAAACAGAAGGCAAGTAGCTAATGAAAAAGTTAACATTTTTAAACTACAAATCAACATTGAAAAAAAAAAAATTAAAAAACCCAACAACAACAACAACAACAACAAACAACCCATAAAAAAACATTTAAAAAACCCCATGGACCACATGCTCCACTAAAGCTCTTAAAAAAGGTTTCCATGTTTAAAAATGGGACTATGCAAGTTGTACAATGTTGGATTTAATTGTTCAGAAATTGGTACTCAGAGATTAAGTCAGTTTAAAACTCAATTAAGTTGTCTGAGCATAGCGAATTTTCAGGAAATAAAGTGTGGGCTAAGGCATGAAAGAAACATAAATGAGAGAAACTCCTTAAAGGTTCTGAAATCAATTGGATAAACACGGATCTTTTTGAAGTTACAACCTGTCACCTTCCCTACCCGTGTAGGAATAGGAAAACTGTAGGTGAGTTCATTACTGTGGCACTTAAGGAAAGTGCTTGGGGCTCAATCCTACTTGTATATGATTTCAGTGTTCAAACGAACAGAGCCCAATATATATTGGGGAAGTTACCTCATTTTCAAGTGGCCTCTAGTTAGCTATGAAATTTCTTCAGAAAACCACAAATAGTTTAAAAGGCAGGAACTAGGAAAAACACTAGTAACAGAAGAAACAAGTAAGCATGGTACAGAGCTTAAACATGTAAGCCAGTATTGGTATTACTGTTTTTCCAACAAATGTAGATGTTCAGTAATCACCCAGATTAAAACTTCTCTTACCTGCAAAAGGCCAGCAAACTTGACTACTCCCCATCCAAGTCTGGCAACATCTGGCTCAACCAAACTCATCTGGTAAATATCCACAGCCAGGAATCTTTGAACTTGACCCCCATCCTTTGTTATGACCGTACAAGCAATGAGATCACTATTATCTGAGGGAAGAAAAAAAAGTTACATAGCTACTGAAGTTAAAGATTGTGGGTTTTGGTTGTTTTATGTAACATAAAATATTCAAAGTGTAATCATCTTTACAACACATGTTTAAAGTTATTCAAGGGTTTTGTTTGGTTTGGTTTATTGGGGGACAGGGGGGATGCTTCGTTTTTTTTAACATATGTATTTTGCATTTCCTTACCGTATTTATATTTACATAGAAAGGGCAGGAAATATTTTAACAGGAGTGGTTCAGATATCTTACAAGCTACGTGTAAGATGTATATTAAATGCACTCTGCTTTCTCTTACCACCTGCATTACTGTTTAGTATAATATGTCACTTCATTTCAGGGGTGACATTGCAGCAGTGTTGATTTCTCTAAGTGGAAGTCTCAAAAAGTCTTGTCAAAAGACCAGAGATGCAGTCCTATGCCACTGCAGGCAACGACATCTACCTCACGATAAACTTAGGCTCCATTCTGACAAGAGCTACATTTCTACAGGTCTGAAAAGTGACTATTCTGACTGTTGGAAGCCTTTCAACTTCAAGGCTATATGGACTCTCCAGGTAAACTGTTTCAGGTTTTTGGCAATATCTGTTAAATTAGGTGACATTTTTCCCATTATCCACCCATTTTATTAATTTATATTGAATAAACATATTATCTCTTAACCATTACTCTAGGACCCCCTCAAACAAGCCTGAAAATACAGATCTCAAGAAGTAAATACACCAAATACACCATTCCCTTGATCCTCCTGCATCTCCTCACTGCACCTGTTCCAGTTCAAACCCATCATTTTTAAAAAGTGTTTAAATCACCTTCTTTACACCAGCGGAAGTCTACTCAGCACCCCATAAACTAGCACTGACACCTCCTAGCAAATATTTGCTAAACTTACTAGAGTTGTTTTTACCTTTGCTTCAAATTCATTTTTTCATTCATATACTTAATACACACAGATCTCTCCTCTCTCTTATCTAGTGCAATTTATTACAAGTAAAACATTCTGTGAACATGCATGCTGTCCTACCAAGTTAATGATTTTTGCAATTCTTGATGGTACTCCACATAATCTGATGGATGTAGCCAGCTAGGCTGCAGCACTTCTATTTTCTGCGATAGTTTTGACTGGGTTTTGGGTTTGTCTGGGTTTGGGGTTTTTTTTGTGTTGGTTTTGGTTTGTGGTTTTTTAGGATATAAACTATCCAACTTGAAAGCAATGAGTTCCATATTTTGCTTCTACCTTATCCATGATTCTTCAACACACTCATTCTCCTTAGCACTCTCATTCCTTAGTGTTGCTAAGGTATTGATAGACTCAGCAGTTTGGAGTTATTAATTCAAATAGCTTTTCCGAAAATGAGGGTTCAGTATAGGCATCAGGTGCTATTAAGATGTATGAGGCTTTTTTTCCCTCCTATTCCATGTGCACATACTATTTTTAAGGATGCTGTATTTTTAGACATGTGTCTATCAGTTTGATAAATGTGTCATTTACAGTAAGGCAAGTATCTTTCAATAAGGCTGCCTTCTTATTCAGATTTTTTATATTTATCTGAAGGGAGCTATTCTGGCACAGAGAATTCAATGTATCTCTAATACTTACAGCCATATCTCCATACTGAACACTGATGTTAGGTGCTCTTGTACCTGAAACCCAGCTGTAGTATTTTTCACGTTATTTACACAATGCATTAAAAAGAATCCTGCTAAATTTCAACTCTACATCCGGTATCCAAATTAAAACAATGAAAAAATATCTGACTACTATTTTTCTCCTCTAGTTTCCCACGGAATAAGCTAACTCTAAAAATAAAAACTAGAAGAATTAGCTAAACGGATAGGAATGAGACTGCAGGTTATATAAAACAGTAAAACTTAAATTTACTTATCCAAACACCTAAACAAGTAGTTAAGTAACAAGCACTGTATTTCATACTAGAAACACCTGTGGGATAGATATAAGCTACAAGTGGAAGCATACACAGCTCTTTGCAGGGCAGGTCATACAGCTAGGGACAACAGCCACAAATTATGGTTTGGGAGGCGGAGAAAATTTTTTTGTGTGTAATACAGCACAGCAGGATATCCAGAAAGGTTGTGGGATTCCTATCACCAAAGGTTTTCATGTTTCAAAAAACCAAAACAGTCCTTCCAAAAATCAACCTCCTATCTGCCCCCAAGCCCCCCTCCACCCCAGTGAAGACGTCCCTTCCAACTAACATTTCTGTGATTCTACCAATTACCCTTCACCAGAAGAATCCATTCAAAATTGAGTGGTAGGAGAGAAAGGGAAGAAAAGTGGAACCCTAATACAATTAAAAGAGGATAATTAATGCTAATCCAGTGTGAATTTAGAGTAAGCTTTTGAACTTTGAGAAAACAAGTTTAATCAATAAATACAACACTGCTACTTTTCTGCAATACATACAGGACGTGATTCATGAGGATTGATTGCTATTACCTTCTCATATGCCCTGGAAGGCTCAAGAAATCTATACAGGATTGGCAAGTATTAATATAGGAGCCTATGGGAGATTTATTTCATTTTAAAGAAACTGAGACACCAGGTAGTAAACCACAGGAGACCTAAAATGGCAATGTAGGTTATGTTTAGCCAAAATAATCCTACTCCAGTATTATTGTACCAATTACATGCTAATAATATTCTAAAACAATAAAAGATTATATATACATTAAATGCATCAAAAGCTCCATCTAAATTTTTGATCCAAAAGTGTATCTGTATTCATATATATTTTACACATACACATCTAGAAGTGGTAACAGAGGTATAGATCCAATACATCCCTCCAGAAATTACTAATACCTAAATTATTCCCCCTTTTTGTTTATAACTGGAAAGCTTAAAGTTATTATCAGTGTTTCTACATCATGGGAAAACAGGAATAATGCAAGTGTCCTTTATTCTGAACTGCTCTGTGAATTTAAGCATTAAACACCTGAACATATTTGATTGTTTTCAAATGTGCAATGTTATGTACATCAGGGAATGAAAAACAGAGAAAGAACTATAGCCAGGATTTAAATTCTCTCAGAGATGTGGAATTACAGTTGATAACAAAGTGAATGTATTCTACAATAAAATGGCAGACTTGATCTCTGAATGAACAATGGGGTAATACCTCTGCTTTACACTGGTGTATTGCTGGGCCAGCTGAGGTACACACGGTTTTAAGGAAGCAGGCTGAAAGACACTGGCAAGACCACCATAACACACACTGTCATGAGAATTAAAAATACATATTTTTTTAAAGCAAAAAGCATAATAATTCAACTAATTTAGCTTAAAGAATACCTGGGAGGCAGGAAGACTTTAATTCATAATAAATAGTACAAACAGCTAAGAAATTTAACATTGGGCCAAGGCAAATGACAAAAGCTACAAATGGCAGCAGTTCCACGGTGAAAAAGAATTGACTGATGAAACTAAACAACTGGTAGTCTGGTCCTTCATGGGACAAAGTTTCTAATCAAGAATTAATGTTTTTCTAGGAATACACTTTGGTTCAAACAGAACTATCTTCAGGGAAGTCATCTGTAATGCACAGGACATACGCAATTTTTTTTCCAAGCCATAAAACCAGAATAAAATGAGAAAACCCCCATGAATATAGCTATTAACTGAGAAGGAATTAATTCTCAAACAGTGGATATGACTAAACAAGGATGTGCTTACTACGTTGGCCTATCCTCTATACTGCATAAACTCTTTTTGAAGCGGTTTCCAATAAAAAGCATAAAGTGTTATCAGTGTTAATGAGTCCTTAAGGCTTTCAGCATTTACAGATGTGTTTCAAAACAGGACTCCGGAACATGTCTAGCTACTTCTAAAATTGGGACCCTTTGTTTATTATTGCCTCTTTCATTCTTTAATCCAGTTAGTCAGTCAACCTGAATTCCTGGAATAGCCCTTTTCTTCTCAGGATGTGAAGAAACAGGATTTTGACCTCTCCAAATACATAAGGTGAGATTGTTGAATTTTGCAGATAATCTGTTGGGAGATTCTCAGCATATAGGCCACAACACCAAATTGAGTTGTGAAATTCTTAAATACTTGGTTTTGTTCAGTATTTATACACTTTTAGTGCAACAGCAAGCAGATCAAAATACTTGGAATTACAAAAATGCAAGTACTTAAGGTCTCAAAGGGCAGAAGCTGTTTCCCAGATCAGAAACTTTTCATTTTAGATGTGACAAAAACTTAATGTATTACTGTAAATGTTTATCAAAGAACAGAAAGGAAAATTACTCATTTATTAGGCAACTGTTACAGGCATCTTTTGAGTTTATACAACTGAATGTACCCCATTTACATGGCTGTTTCTAGTTCACAGCTGCTGAAGGGTCACAAGCTATAGTCACACTTTATGACAAAAACAGAAGAGAAAGTGTGGTTAAACACATTTCCAGTGAACTGATCTGAGAATACTTACAGCTATGCTATGAAAACAGTTACAGATACCCAACCACATTTAGATGAAAGAATTTCAAGCCCAGTAAACTTCAGTACTATTGAAATTTGATCTGGGGATTAAAATGAACCACAGGCGGATTGGCTCACTGATGTGACACTGCTGCAAAAAAGTAGTGGCATTTTTGCGATTAAACAGGAATGCTTAATTTTTCCTCATGCAAAATGAAGTTTGTAACCAGTTTGGGGACTACACCTCCAAGACATGGATTCAAGATTTCTCTGGATTTTCTCCAAGAAAAATATAACTTTTAAGAAACACAACCTAGGAAGAAGAGTTCAGAGACTTCAGCTCCTTGAAGTGAAGAAGATTTAAATTAGGTGAAAATACTGCATCAACACAGGCAACTATTTGCCTGGAAAGACTGTATTATATGAAGTCTTTACAAAGACAACAGCTACTTTAGGAGATGGTCTAAATGTACCTGACCTGCCTCAGGACTTTAGTAATTTTATAATTTACAGTCATCACAATTCTAGAAGTCATCTACAGACAT